TATTAGTAGTAGTTGTAGTAGTTGCAACAAAGGTACGGTTAGCACTAGCGTAGCAGTAAGCGTACTAGTGGTCGTCGTAAATAACGAATGACACATTAAAGACGGGATTTCGTGTCGTATTGATCCACATCCTTGGTCTTTGTTGCCAAGGGTTCTATTTAAGTAGGCTCCGGCTCGGTGGCATTCCAGTATTTTCTGTGACAGATGAATCTTACTTCATTTTGTCCACTAGAGCACCCCGTGTTCACCTCGAATGATGGTTAGAAGCTGGCATGGCTGACTCCTTATATGTTACCGCATTACCACATACACATAATAAGCTGTTCGTACGATCGAGTCTGTGAAATAACGAATGTCTCCTCTAAGACCATATTTATTAGTAGTCGTAGTGGTACTGTCCGTAGTAATAGTCGTGGTAGCAGTAATAATGATAGTGATAATTGCAGTAGTCGTAGTACTTGCAGCTTTATTAGCAGTAGTTGGAGTAGCCATTTTGGTATTATGCATATTGCTAATAGTGGTCACCATAATTATTGTATTTATTGATAATAGTGGTTATAGCAGCCACAGTAGTTGTAATGGTAGTCGCAATAACTGTAGTAATAGAGAAATTTCTGTAGCAGAAGCGATAGCTGTTGCGTAGAGTACTGAGAACAGTAGTGGTAGTGACAATAGCAATAGTAAGAGTAGTGATGACTGAAGTGATGTTAATCGTAGTGTTACAGTGTTGTTCATGCTAGAACCATTGGAGACTCACAGAAGACTCCTGTATTTCTACCACGCTTCAAATGAGACAAGAAAAGTGTATCTAGTTAAAAAATAGTTTGTTGTGACCTTAAGGAATAGCGATATCTTTATATATTCCTATATATGGTTTTGATGATGTACTAAATAAATATTTTATGGTATTCTAGTTTGCTATTAGTCATTCTTGATTTATTTTATTGTCTCGAATGATGAAATTGACAAACTGACAGTACGTTGTTCCTCTTGGCATTGAATTTTTGGCGGATTTGTGTTAAGTGCATTGCGTAGTATTCATCAGCTGACCGATGACAGAGGGCTACGGCCCGTCAATTAATTCAGCCGGAAAAATGGCTGTCTGTGGTAAATGTACTAGTTTACTATCTGGTATCCAGCCATAAATTCTGATGGTTTGCTTGACGTCTGATTATTCGAATGAATTCATACGAGTACATTTTCACTAACATTCTAGTTCATAGCAGAAGAACGGTGTG